CTGCGAAATGGTCGCCACTTTCGAGGGTTGCTGGTGGGTCCTGCGGAGTGAGGCACCGCGCGGATTTGAGCGAGACCTCCCCGTCCTTTGGGGGCTGCGATCTGCGAAATTGTCGCCAAATTCGAGGGTTGTTGCTGGGTCCAGCGGAGTGAGGCACCGCGCGGATCTGAGCGGCACCTCCCCGTCCTTGTAAAACATGCGGTTTCCACATATTGTGGTTTGTTTCCACCGTGTCTGTTGTCTGTGTGTGTTTTCCACCGTGTTCTTTCCCACAGACTTATGCCGTTGCCTGTTCTCCTGTACGACTGCGCGCACCCACGCACACACACACACACACATTGCGGAACAAACGCACACACTAACACACACACACACACACGCACACACACACACACACACATACACACACACTCACACACACTGCGGGAAAAAACACAAAACAACACACACACACACACATTGCGTGTGGGTGTTTCCACTGTGTGTATGTGTGTGTCTGTGTGTGTCTGTGTGTGCGTGTACGTGCGTGCGTGCGTGCGTGCGTGTGTGCGTGCGTGCGTGTGTGTGTGTGTATGTGTGTGTGCGTGTGTGTGTGTGTGTGTGTGCGTGTGCGCGTGTGTGCGTGCGTGCGTGCGTGTGCGTGCGTGTGCGTGCGTGTGCGTGCGTGTGCGTGCGTGTGCGTGCGTGTGCGTGCGTGTGCGTGCGTGTGCGTGCGTGCGTGCGTGTGTTTTCGTGCTTTTGTTCCACCGATTGCGCGCGCACACCGAGCACGGCCGCTCGCACCACCCCCCGCGTGTCCGGCGCGCGCGGGCGCGGAGTCGCCCGCGGCTCGCGCGCGGAGGCGCACGCCCGCTGCCAGGCGTTTGGGAGGCCTCCGCGGGGGGCCTCTGCGGGGAGGCAGCCTGGGAGCCTCCCGGGTTATGATGCTCCAACCTACTTTAGCCTGGATCACCAGAAAGAATTTCGAGCGCCAGAAAAAAATACCGAAGCTCAAGGGTTTTCACGTGTCGGGCCCTGGGAGACACTCGCCCGACATTCTTTCGACTCTTGTTTGACACTCTTTCGACACTTTTCCGGGTGCTCGAAATTATTTCTGGGATGTGGTCCTTAAGTAGGATGGGAACAACATAATTCTCGGGTGCGTTTTTTTGGGAGGGGGGCTTGGGGGGGCCTCTTGGGGAATATGGGGGGCCTCCTGGACGCCTTTTGGGTTAGGTCGGCCCTGATCCTCAGCATGAGGAGTACTCAAACATAGCCAAACAAAATATATGGGGACGATGTTTCGACCATGTTTGACAAGTTTGGTGAATGTGTTGTGTATTTTAAATTTTTCGCACAAAATCCGCGGGGACACGCCCGACCTATCTCTTGGGGCCTCCCGGGTGCCCTTTTGTCGCCTCTCGGGGCCTTTAGGGGGCCTCCTCGGGCCTCCTGGGCGCCTCTTTGGGCCTCCTGGGGGTCTCTTAGGGCGGACGGCTCGAATTTTCGGTTCATGTTCCCTCTCTTGGGTCCCTCTTGGGGCCGTCTTGGGGCTCTCTGGGGTCGTCTTGGGCGCTTGTTGGGCTGTCTTGGGGCGATCTCAGGCCGTGTAAGAGCCCTCTTGGAGACCTTCGGGGCCGTTTTGAGGTGGTCTTGGAAGCCTCTTGGGCCGTCTTGGAGCGTCGGAAAGCCGAAAAGGCGAGAACGCCAAAATCCTTGGAGGCCTTTTGGGGCCTTCCGAGATGCCTCTTGGAGGCCTATTGGGGCGTCGTGGAGGCCTCTTGGACTGTCTGGGGGCCATCTTGAGCGTCTTGGAGCGAGCGTTCGGCAACTCGGGGCCCTCTTGGACCGTCTTGGGGGGCATCTCGAGGCTCTTTTGACCCTAAACCCTAGACCCTAGACCCTGGATTCTGAATCTTAAGATTACTAAGCCCTGAACACCGAACAATCGGGTACATACAACCCCGGCATGTGAACCGGCGCCATCCCTTGCCAGCAATAGTATGTCCTGATCATGCGTGCATAATCCATTGCGATGTGCAATGCAGATGCGCGTCCGCGGACGCAAACCCTCGCCATCCCTTGCAACAAATATTATGTTCTGAACATGCGTGCATAACCCATTGCGATTCACAAAGCAAATGCGTTTCCGCGGACGTGAACCCTCGCCATCCCTTGCAAAAGTAATATTTACTGATTATGCGTTCATGCACCTATGAGATGTTCCTGACCAAGTGCGCCGCTGTCGCAGAATCTTATGTTTTACAATATGATTTCCATGCTGCTTCAGGCGTTCAGAACGCTCCCAGGCGCTCCCAAGCGCTCCAGGCGCTCTCAAGCGCTCCCAGGCGCTCCCAAGCGCTCCCAGGAGCTTCCAGGCGTTCCAGGCGCCCTCAAGCGCTCCCAGCGCTCCCAGGCGCTCCCATGCGCTCCCATTCGTTGTACTTACAACGAGGGGAGATATGATCTTTATGGTAGGGTGGTTTGCGGGTGGGACTGGCAGCCATCGCAGGTGGGTTCCGAGGCAGGAGGGGATCAGCTGCGGCAGAGCTTGTAGACCCTAAACCCTAAGCCCTGGTCCGTGTTGGGGCGTTCCTGGGCCCGAAGAGGCCATGCGACAAAATGCGGTGGGGGGGCCGAGGGGGCACGCGCCAAGCCCCGCCAAAGTTTGGAGTTTTGGGCCTGGGCCCCCGACGGGCGTTTCGGGACCGACGACATGTGGCTCCAGGGACTCAGAGGAAACAGAGGAGGAGACAGGGGCAGAGGAGACAGGGGAGGAGGAGGAGGAGGAGGAGGAGGAGGAGGAGGAGGAGGAGGAGGAGGAGGCGGAGGCGGAGGAGAGGGAGGAGGAGGAGGAGGAGGAGGAGGAGGAGGAGGAGGAGGAGGAGAGGGAGGAGGAGGAGGAGGAGGAGGAGGAGGAGGAGGAGGAGGAGGAGGAGGGGGAGGAGGAGGAGGAGGAGGAGGCGCGGTGGCGGATCCGCACGGCCTCCTCGCACCCACGCTGGTTCCCCTCGCGGCGCCGCCCCGGCGCCGCCCCCGGCGGCGCGCTCCGCCCCCCCTGGCGGCGAACGAGGGGCTCGCTGTGTACACGCCGCGCCGTGCGGTCGGCCCACGGGCTGGGAAGCTGGGGCGCCCACGCGCCGACCTCCCCGGCCGAGGAGGGGGGAGGAGGGAGGAGGTGCGAGGGGGAAGGAGGAGGGGGGGGAAGGAGCGAGGAGGAGGCAAGAGGGAGCGGGGGGCACGGGGGAGGAGGGCGAGGAGGACGGGGAGCACAGAGTTAAGTCGGGCCTGTCCCTCTACACGAGGACTTTTCGAAAATCGTCAAAACATAGTCTGGGGGTGATTTTTGATTACCGAATTGGTTAGCACCCAAATGGGTTCTCTCGTCGAACCTGCGAGTTCCATCGATCTACAACATCCTACGCTTTTTTTGCGCAGACCCGACGGCACAATCAATTCAGGGGTAAATCGATTCGATCAAGACGAAAACATGAACCAGCCCCGTCCTATACAACATCCTGAACTCTCTGGCGCAGACGCTGACGCCAAAGCATCAAAGATGGTCACTGACATGTTTGTCCGCCTCAGAGGCGCTTTGGCGTACGATTTAATGATGCAGGTGCGGTTGATGGTATATGTTGTTTCCCTACAACGTGTCCAAGAATCGACCAACATACAGGTACGACGACTGAACGCGATCGCCTTGAAGTTGCAGGCCTGCCCTGAAATTAGCATCTATCGATCGATGATTCCAACGGGCGAAGTCGACCTGCGCAGCGACTCCGGCTATCAAATTCTGAGCGGAGGTGCTGATGACGAGGTCGAAGGCGATGGTATTCGCGGGGCAAGCCTGCTACGGCGTGGAAGCACGCCTGCAGGTACGCCTGTCGTCCATCTTATCGATGCACACTGCAAGTCTCACCGCTTGCAGGTCTATGTTTAAGTCGGGCCTGTCCCCCTACAGGAAGAACAGTAAAGACAATAAAAAATAGGGGGCTATTTTTAGACCATGACTATTTGAGGGTATTTTGGGTGGTTTTAAAAAAACATGTCAAAATCCGCCTGTAGGAGGACATGCCCGCCCTAAGTCTATACACCGACCTCCCCGGTCGACCAAAGTGCGCGGTACACACATCGAACCCCTCCCAGGGGCGAGCGTGCCACTTCCGGGCCGAACAAAGGGGGAGGATATGGAAACGGGGGGGTACGAAATCTGCTGCGTGCAGCTGGTTTCGGCCCCGCTGGCGGGCCCATTCCTGGATATACATGTGCGTCTCCCGGCGCCAGGATGCGCTGGGAAAATCACCTACGCGAGCAGATTGTCTACCCTACCTTTTGCTGTCCCCCCCTACGTTCCCCCCGACTGAACCTTGCGAGGTTTCAACGGCATGTTCTTAAATCATTTCTGGACGAAGCCGTCTTGTTTTTCACTACCAGCTGTATGATCCAGGGACATTGGCCTTGTTCTGAGGACATTATTTAATTATCGGGGCACGTCGTGGGAAGCCTATACCCAGGCATCCTGCCCATTCCTGGATATACATGGGCGTCCCCCCTGCGTGAACTGATTCTCCACCCTAATTACCTTTTGCAATCCCCCGTTTTCGTTCCCCCCGACAGAACCTTGCGCGGTTTCCACGACACGTTCTTCGATCATTCTTGGCTGAGACCGTCTAGTTTTCCACCACTGGCTGTATGATCCAAGGACCTTGGCCTTGTTCGTGCGACATGATGAGAAAAAGCACGTCGTGGGAGGCCCATGCCCAGGCATCCGGCTATCCCCCATTTCGTTCCCCCCGAGACCTCCGCGATCTCGCCGCCGCGTTCCCTCTCGTTCCCCCGCGCGCGCCTGCGGCCCACGCGCCCTCCTTCGGGGGGGGGAGCGGGGGGCAGGTGCCCTCAGATCCGGGCGTCCCATTTTTTTCCGAGCCGCTCCTCCTCCTCCTCCTCCTCCTCCTCCTCCTCCTCCTCCTCCTCCTCCGCGATCGCGCCGCCGCGTTCCTTCGCGCCGTTTGGGGCCCAGGCGGCCGCGCGCGTGCGCCGCGCCGCCGCGCCGGACGGAAGGGTGGAGACTGCACGAGCAAGAGCTTTCGGACTCCCGCGGGCGCTTCTGGGGTCGGCGCTGGACCTCAGGGCAGGAAGCGATCACTCTAAGTCGGGCCTGTCCCTCCTACGCGAGGAATGTTCGAACATGATCCCAAAATAGTGTGTGGGGGCGATTTTTGTTTTGATTATGTTGGGGCATTGTGGGGGGTATTTTTGTTGGTACGGTTGATCTTTCGCCCAAAGTCCGCCTGTAGGGGGACATGCCCGACCTAATCTTGGGTCGGCGCTGGACCTCAGGGCAGGAGACGATTACTGCCCACGCCGCCACTCGTCCCGGAGATCCCTCGCCACCACGGCCCGGTTATCCTCGGAGTTCTGCTGAGGAAGCACCCTGGGAGAGGTATGGGGAGTAGCGGCTCACGGCAGGTTACCGTCGCTGGCATTCAATTTTGAATGCCGCCAGCGACCCAGAATCGGTCGATGTTGACCGAGCTGATGTTCTGGAGACGCCCGATCGTTCAAGGCTGAATGATCCCCGCGGTGTCAGGAACCAACGCCGGGGTCGACACGACGCGAACCTGCCATGGGCACCTTTCTTGCTCCCCCAGGAGCCCCCTCCCAGCTCTCAGCACCCCCGGTCAGCGCGCTCCGCGCGGAGGGGCAGGGGGGGGGGGGGTCCGGCGCTGGCCCGAGAGATCCGCGCGGGCTGGGTCCGAAAGCTCAGGCGTGAGCAGGCTTCTCTTGCCATTCTGGCCAGAAGCCGTCGGTTGTTTGCTCAACATCGCCTGATGGGCCTCTTTTCCACCACCACCACCATAAGCTGGAGGGGGGAAGGAGGTGGAGGACTCGGAGGAGGAGGACGAAGAGAAGGAGGTGGTGGAGGAGGTGGAGGAAAAGGAGGGCCCGCTCCCTCTCCAACTTGTGGGCGGTGGTGGTGGAGAACAGGCCCATCATAGCATCATAGCGTGGGCAGCGGGGCATGTCCCCCCGTCGCCGGCCCCGACGTCCGAGGGGGCAGGTTCTGGCCCTCGAGGAGAGGCAGGGCACGGGAAAAGAGGGAGGGACAATCCAGTGGACTGCGGAGGGTCGAACCGGAAAAAACGCCATAGACATATTTGTTTGCGATCCGCACGGATTTCTTGGATCCGCGCGGGGCCCCCCCGGCGGCACCTCCGGCGCCGTCCTTGGCGCGCTCCGCGCGCCAGGAAGGGAGGTCCAGCACAGATCCAAGAAATCCGCGCGGAGCGCCACAAGTGTATGTGTATGTGTTTTGTTCTTCTTCTAGAGGGGCGGAGGGCAGATCTGGGGGACGTGTCCAGCTGCTCATTGTATTTACCCACCAGGCGAGGTATCAGATGGCTCCTCATGGAGGCACCTCGCTGGTGGCCATCGCGGCATTACTCGGGCACGATATTCATGTTCTCGGAGCTCGAGCTCGCCTTCACCAGGAGCGCGTGGCGGGCGGAATCTTTCCTCGGTCCGTCTATGATTGTGCCGCTCTCTTCTGGGCCTTCCTGTTGCAGAGAGCCGTTGCTTGAGATTGGCCGCTGCTTGAGTTTGCCCCGCGACCTTGATTTGGCATGCGCGCGCAACCACCAGTGCAATGTTTCCTGCAACTACACTTCATCGAGCATGGAGCTCGACAGAGCCAGGTTCCGACGAGGGCTGGGGGGGGCGGCCGGTAACCAGCAGGGAGGAATACTGAGGACGGAGAGCAGCAATAGCGTCAGGAGGAGCAGCGGCTGCAGGGGGAGGACAAGGAGGACTAGGAGGAGATGTTGAAGAGTAAAGCAGGTTCTGGAGTTTCGGATCTAGCCGGCTAGGCCGGCGACATATTGCACTTTAAGTTATGTTTTTTGGTTGATCGGTTTAGCTTGGATGCAAGCTGTTCTGAGGAACCCCTGTGCCGAATGTGAAAGCTGCTGAGATTGAGAAGTTCTTGTGGACGTACAGAACCACATTCCCAGGTCCACATGGAATGCAATTGTTCTGCTCTCGCGTTCTCCTGACGACTTTCGTGGCCATGCCTTGGTTTCCTGGTTTGTGGGCCATGTTTTTCATCCTCCAACGCTCGCCCTGGGAATAATTGTCACGGGTCGATCCTTCTGTTTGCGTCTGTCTGCCTAGGAGTGGCAGGATTTGTCCGCCTAGGCCGGCGCCTACATCAAGCAGCAACATAAGTGTGTTCGTTCTCGTTTCGTTTTCTCCAAACAGTACGGGGCTCGTGTTCTTCTTGACGGGGCCCACTTCAATCCGATCGATCCGATTCGATCTCGGCTTTGGCCAGTCCGATTCGATTCGATCCGGATGTTCGAGCGACCGCTCGGGGCGATCGAAATGGGTACGGAAAGAATGGGTACAAAGACCGACAGCATCTCTTGATCATTTTGAAGAGGACTCGCTGTCGGCGTCGCCGCGGCCCGTGTCCATTTGAGACAGAAGGCCGCCTGCCTCACAGCGGCGGCTGTCGGTTTTAGACAACATTTGCTGTTGGTCATCGTACCCATTTTCTTCGTACCCATTCCGGGCGTCCAAAGCCGCTGCGGCTCGGTACTCTCATGACGCTGGTACGCGCTCTGGCGCCGCCGATCCGATCCGATGCCGACTCCGATTCCGAGCCGCGGCGGCCCGACTCCAGGCACGTGCTGGCTCGATCCGATGTCCCGATTCGTCGTCGTCGGAGGAGGAGGAGGGAGGAGGGAGGAGGGAGGAGGGAGGAGGGAGGAGGCAGCAGGGAGGAGGGAGGAGGAAGGAGGGAGGAGGGAGGAGGGAAGAGGAGGGAGGAGGGATAGTTATGTTGCTTATCCTGCTTTGGGGCGGAGTTCTGGCGGTGCTGCCTGGAACGCGCGGGCTTTTCCGCCGGCACCGCCCGAGCTTGCTCCTAGTTGCTCGGTGCGCGCCGGCCGCGGCAAGGGCCATGCTCACGCGCATACATCTGGGAAAACCAGCTACGTGAGCTGATTCTCTACCCTACCCTTTGCTATCGCCCCCTTTCGTTCCCCCCGACAGAACCTTGCGCGGTTTCAACGGCACGTCCTTAGATCATTCTTGGCTGAGACCGTCTAGTTTTCCACCACCGGCTGTATGATCCAAGGGCCTTGGTCTTGTTCGTACGACACTTTGATTATCAGAGCACGTCGTGGGAGGCCCATACCCAGGCATCCGGCTATCCCCCCCTTTCGTTCCCCCCGAGCGTCGGACGCGCGCCTCCGGCGTCCCCTTCGGCGCCGAGCCCATCAGCGCCGAGCCCTCCGTCGCGAGGGCGTGGGCCAGCCACGGAGCCCCCCTGGGGGGCCGGCCCTCCCGCGGCTCCCGAGGGCGCTGAAGTCGGGCGTGTCCCTCTGCAGGAGGAATCTTCTCCCTAAGCCCTGATAAGGGCTTATCGATTTTTTCGCCAATCGACTTGTGGGAGTCGAGCCAGATAGATCCAGGTAAATGCAGATAGATCGAGATAAAGCAGGGTAAATCCAGGCAAATCGAGCTACATCCGGATAAATCCAGATCAATCCAGAGATCTCCAGGGAAAGTTGGAGCAATTCGCGGCCGCTCCAGCGCGAGTCGAAGGACGGCAGAAGTCGTTGAGCTTTTAACAATGTTCAGAAATAGTCAAAACATAGTCTGGGGACGATGTTTCGATCATGTTGTGGGTATGTTCTGCATATCTGGGGTATTGCGAATTTCTTTCGTCCAAAATCCGCCTGTAGGGGGACATGCCCGACCTAATGATGGAAAGCTCCGTGGCGGGCACTTGCTGACCATGCCGTTCGGGAAACGCTATACGATAAGAGGTGTGTGTGTGCTATACTGACAGGATGAAGAGGTATCTATACCTCCACCCCCCGCCCGTGTTCCCTCTCTCTGGGCCTCCTCGGAGGCCCTCGTCGCCACCGCTTGATTCGCCTCGAGATCTTGGCCAGAACGCACCCCTGGAGAGGTCCGCGGAGTCGCGGTACCGGTACCTTTTCGATTCACCATGTACGTGTTCCTCCTCCTCCTCCTCTTTCTCCTCCTCTCCCTCATCCTCCTCCTCCTCTTCCTCGTCCTCTTCCTCCTCCTTCCTCCTCCTCCTCCTCTTCCTCCTCCTCCTCCCTCCTCCCTCCTCCTCCTCCCCCCTCCTCCTTTTCCTCCTCCTTCTCCTCAGGTGGCGCGAGCGCGCCCCGTTGCACCCCCCACCTTTGATATCTAATGAAGTACACACACTCTGTTTACTGCAACGTTCTTTTTGGCCAGTGGGTCAGGCTGCTGAGCGCGGCCGTCTTCATGTCAGTTGTTCGACTCTTGCACTGGAATCCCCTGAGTTTCATTAATCAGGACCGCCAAGAAGAGGTGATCGTCACCACCGCCCAGTCCTTCCACGTGGTTGTGTTCGTGGGCACGCAGGCCCGTGCTGCTCGTGACTCCCCATTGTCAAAAAGGCGGGTGCACGGTGTACTATTGCTCGAGGCAGGATATGGCAGAGGGCCCTACACGAATCGCTCGACAGGTGTATCTACGACATTAAGTTGTGGGTTGAGAGAAAGTCACATCGTTAGGCACTGGCTCCCTCCACCCGCACTCGGAGGCCGTGGCTTGGGCGTGAGGGTCAAGCGGGCGGGGCTCGACCTGGCGGTGATTGGCGCCTACTTCCCGCCGCGGCCTCGCGGAGTACTCGGCCGTCCGAACTACATGGCCACTGTTGAGAAGCTGGTCGTCTGGCTTCGATCTGTTGTTTCTGAGCTGGCTCACCATACTAGGGTCCTGCCCTTGATCAGTATGAACCTGAATGACGGGCTAGGCATCGGGTTGAAGGAGGGAAGATGGAGGTATACGGATACGAGCGTCGTGAGGGAGGAGTTGAGCACAAAGGAGATGATGGCGGGGGGAGCTGGTGAACAGGTCAGGGAGCTGATGGAGGAGTACGGGTATGTTCTGCTAGGCCTGCGAGAGAAGGTGGAGCCTACGTGGTTTGGCAACCAGTCTCAGTCCAGTCGAGTGGACTACATCTTTGGGCCTGCTGCCGCTGCGTCCCTTGAGATCTCTGGAGGCCCCCTGATGAAGCTGATGAGAAGCACCAGATGATCCCCAGCAAGTGCCCCAGGGACCATGTTCCACTGCACTGCAATTTGAAATGGGACTTCCAGCCCCCTCAGGAGGATCGTGTTGCACGCGTTTTCTGGAATTTTGAGGCGATGAAGTTCTCGGAAGGTCGCCACTTGTTCTTGGAGAAGGCTTCCCAGAAGGTTCAGGAGCTGTCCGAGGATCTTGGAGAGGCCCTCAAGCACGGCCAGCCTGACAGATATTTTGAGTAGTTCAATTCAGCGCTGCAGGAGACGACAGCAAGCATCTTTAGTGGACCATTAGCCAGCTGCTCGGACCTGTATCGCCAGCAAGCTGCTGAACGCCGTGCACTGCTCGCTCGTCGCCTGCAACTCAGGTTGCGACTCTCGCAGGCAGTCAACGATCTGGAGGAGGAGGAATTGAAGGAGGAGCTCAAGCAGTGCAGTAAAGAATGCGCCATGGTGAGGAGGAGGCAGCACAGGAGGTGGAGGCAGGAGGTCACCGAGGAGTTAGACGAGGCCTGGAGGGTCAGAAATTTGATGGAGGCGCACCGACTTATTAGGTTGCTCGCCTGCCGCGGTAAGGTCCCTCGGGGCAGGGATCTCAGACATCTACGGGGAGCTGCACTTTCGGCAGAAGAATGGTTATCCGTCTGGAAACTTCCTGGACCCCAGGGTGGGATGGAGGTGGAGGAGGTGGTGGAGAACGAGTGCCAGCTGGAGGAGAGGAAGGAGGGCTATTACGGTTCTTTTTCAGTGGAAGCTAATATTGATCTTGGTTCTATTGCAGGTTATCTCAAACATGCGCCTAAACGACGTGCCTGCCCCCCTTGGTCTGTTCCTGTAGAGATCTGGGGCATGATCACGAACCCGCAGTTTGGTCTCAGGCAGCGCAGGCACGGCCTCGGCGCCGACTTCCCCTTGGACGCGACTTCGTTGCAGGAAGCGCTTGAGCGAGGACTCATGTGCATTAGGTTTGCAGGGCGCTTTCCCCGCTCGTGGAACCGTAGTGTTGGCTGTGCTTTACCCAAGAGCAGCGTTGCTGGCCCCCGTGGCAAACGAGTCATTCATTTGCTGGATCCCTTGGGAAAGGCGTGGCTTTCTGGTGCTATGACAAGGCACAAACCACAGCCTCTGGGACCATGTGACTACGGATTCGCGAGGGGGAGGAGGAAGGAAGGTGCCATGTTGGTTATGCAGATTATGTCTCACCGTCTTCGGCTAGGAGGCTACAGTACTACTTGGTCCAACAAGGACCTCAGCAATGCATTCCCCTCGACGTCTTGGAAGCTTTTGGAAAGGGTCAACTCGGAGCTTCTGGACTTAGAGGATTGGGAGTATGGTTTGGATCGGTTTCGCTCGGCGACTATCGAACTTCCGACTCGAGATCGTAAACTTATCGTCAGGCCTCGTTGTGGTGCTCTCATGGGGGGCCCGTACGCTGTCGAAAGCTTTAGCAGGGCATATTCGCATCCAGTAGAAGAGTGGAGTGAGCAACTTCGAGAGATTCTTGATTCTGAAGAATTTCTTCGAGCCGATTGTCCTATTTTAGGGTTGGGTGAGGACGATCTCAGCTTGACGAAATACGCTGACGACCTTGCCAAGCTTCATATCGGAGGAGGTGCGGCATCTTTGAGAGAGGACTCGGCCCTCGAAGTTTTGAGCGCTGCAAGTCGGCACTCCAATCAGTTGCTGGACACCGCCTTGGCTGCCGGTGGGTGGGCTCAGAATCGGGCCAAGCAGAATACCATCGTCTCACTGGTAGGCCGAGGCTCTGCTGCTGCTAATCGTGTGTTACGTAGGAACAGCGAGTATTTTTTTGATGGAGGGGTTGCTCCCTACATGAGGGTGCTGGGAGGACAGATACATGCTACGGGGGCGATCTCGGTGGAAGTGACCAAACGTATTTCAGCTACGCAGGCGTCTTTTCATTTCCTGGGCAAGTTCTGGTCGACCAAGGACGTCGCCTTCCGTCTTCGAAGATCTGTCTTGATGGGGGTGCAAAATGCTGGGCTCCAAAATCTTGAGGCGTTCCTGGTAACCGAGGGCCAGTGTAAGCGCATTGATACTGCCTTTGTTAAATACTGTAGAGTTGCGATGAGGGGAGGAGCCTCCTGGAAGGAGAATCACATATACATAGTTTATCCAATGAGAAGGTTTTGGACTATTGGAGGCTCAACCCCGCATTTCTTGAGCTGCGGGTTAGGCGTTTGAACTGGTTGGTGCAGATTGTGCGCTTCCCGCACCGCCACGTGCAGATCATCGCGGCAATGTTTGCGGAGCTCCCTTCTGACCCTGGTCCCCAGTATGACTACATGGGGCGTCTCACGGCCTACGCTAACCCGTGGGCAAGACTTCTCTTCGCAGACTTGGAAAGTCTGCACGTGCTGGAAGATGGCGAGGAGTTGCTCGCCCGCTTGCAAGGCTCGTTCCTCGCACTTTGGTGGGATGAGGATCTCGGCAAGTCGCTGGGAAAAAATAGATTTCTCTCTTCTTAAACGTCGGCGTCACACCGTGTGTATTCCCCCACCAGAGTATATCCCGAAGGACCCTGTCACGGAGTTGGAGGAGGAGGTTAGCATCAAGGAGGACGGGGTGAAGTGGGTCTGTGGGGTATGTATTGGGACAGAGGGAGCTAAACAAGTCTGTGGTGAAGTTTTACCCGATAAGAAAGCGGCCCTTAATCATATGAGGCTTCATCATGGGATTCGGTCTCTCGGGCACGTCCTCTGCAAAACCAACCAGTGCCCCAACTACCTTGAGGTCTTCTCTAGCACCGTCACGGCGAGTCGCCATTTGGCTGGTTCCATGAATAGAGGCTGCTGTTATTCGGGTGGGGGGCGCACTCAAGAGCCCCTGCATGGGCCGAATGATCTACAATGTCTGCTTTGTGAAGTCCATGGATCTGATCTCAAGAGTTATCAGTTTCACGTCCGTATTCATTTTCCTCGAGAGTTTTCTATTTACGATCGACACCGACACTGCTATATTGTTGCTGGTGAGGCGCCTGTGAGCTATGTCGACGCTCGCGCGCCCAGGCTGGATGGCCAAGCTGTCCGAGCAGGCGCCGTCGTCCAAGAAGCCGAAGACAGGAGAGAAGGGAGGCGGCGCGCCCCGCGGATCCGCCAAATGTGGAAAAAAACAAAGCTTGGACGAGCTGGTCATCGTTCTCGCAAAGCTGGTGCTGAGCGACGAGGCGGAGCTGCGGGCGCTCATCGGCGCGGTGTACGACACGTGGCTGTGCAAGGTCGACTCCCCGACCGCGCAGCTGATGCTCGAGGAGAACCAGGCCTTCAACTCGGAGGCGCAGGAGGAGCGCGAGAAGGAGAAGCAGGACCCGACCTACACGAAGGAGAAGTTGTGCGCGCCCCACCTTCGTGTCTTCACGGCGCTGGTGCAGGGGGCGGCGACGAAGCCCGAGGGGGACACGCTCTTGGCGGAGGACAGGAAGGCGGCCCACGCCTTCTGGGTGCAGACCGCGATGAAGATCACGGACCCCGAGGAGCTGGCGGACACGATCCGCTTTTGCAAAGCCAAGAGGGTCAAGGCCAAGTCTTCGGAGGGCGAGGACATGGTGAAGGTGCAGTTCCTGCTGGCTGGAGAGCTTCCAGAAGCGATCGGGCTGCTGAAGGCGATCAGGGCGACGCTCCGCGCCGAGGGCGGCACCAAGACGATAGGAGGGGCGCCTCGCGGGGTGCTCGTGAGAGAGGCGCAGCGGCTGCTGGACGTGGTCAAGTGATTCGTGTTCGTAGCTACTCCAGCGGCTTCGACTGGAGCCAGAGCGACCGTGTGCGCGGACATCTGCGCGCAGGTCATCTTTCTGAGGAGGCGGCTCGTCGCGTTTGAGGCTTAGCCGCTCCGCTTGCTCCTGTTTTGCTTCTACCTCGCCCCATCCCTCCTCCTCCTGGCCTGGAGCCCCCTTCTGAGCCTCCCCCCCTTATGTACACGATCCAGAATGCCTCTGAAATTGGGCCAGCTGTTGCACTTAATGTTCGACCCCCTGTCTACCGCGGCAGGGGGGCTAAGGGGCGTGGAAAGGGCGCAGTTCGAGGCCGCTCTCGAGGTAGGGGTGGGCCGCGGGCTCCTCTGCCTTGAGGGTGCTTCGGGTGGTGCCTCCTCCTCGTCCCTCGGGGGGGTGGGGCAAGGCGCCTGGCGCTCTGCCTCTCCCCCCTTTCGTGTGTGCGTCGCTCAGGCAAGAGCTTCCCTGAGGACGGCGCTGATGGTGGCAGCCGCTTGGCTGCGCGCCATTGGGTGCGCCACTTGGCCCGAGCCAGCCCCGCCGTGGCGCTGGCCAGCGCGCAGGCGGCACTCTCGGCCTACAGTAGTAGAACCTAGGCGCCCTCCTGGCAGGCTGGATGGACGGTGCGGCGCCCCAGGGTTATTCCTATTCCTATTCCTCCTTCTCCTCCTCCTCCTCTTCCTCCTCCTCCTCTTCCTCGTCCTCCTCCTCCTTCTCCTCCTCCTCCTCCTCCTCTTGTCGGACGCGCGCCTCCAACATCCGCACATCTTACCAGCAAGTTCTTCCGGCGTTCCGCGCCGATCCCTCCGTCGCGAGGGTGGGCGGAGCTCTCCTTGGGTGGCCGGCCCTCCGCGGCTCCCGAGGACACTGCGCAGGCTGCGGAGCAGCCTGGCCTGCGGGTGCACGCGGCCACGTTCAACGCGGGTAACCAGAGGCTCGTCGGTGTGTTCGAAGCGGGTACAGTTAAGTCGGGCGTGTCCCTCTGCAGGAGGAATATTCAAAAACAGTCAAGAAATCGTCAGGGGACGAACTTGGTTTTATTTTTGATCATTAGGGGGGTATTTCTTTAATGTTTCATTTTTCGTCCAACAATCCACCTGTATGGGGACGCGCCCGACCTTAAGGTGCAGGAATATTGGGCACGAAGGTCGAAAGCAGTTCCTGTCCATGTTAATCCGGGTTGCCGCCGCGGGCGTTGCCCATTTGAGACGGAAGCCAGCCTGCCTAGGAGCGGCCGCTTTTGGTTTTGAACAACAATAATTGCAGCTGGGCATCGCACCGTCAGCGTGAAGGGCCGAGCGGTCAATCATTGTCCTTGGGTGCGTGGCTGAAGTGGGGATCCGTGCTGGGGATTATGTTTGTTGTTGTTGGTGTTGTTGTTTGTGTTGGTGTTTGTGTTGGTGTTGGTATTGTTATTGTTGTTGCTGTTGTCGTCGTCGTTCTCCCCGCGACCCACCCCGCGACCCACCCGCGACCCACCCCGCGACCCACCCCGCGACCCACCCCGCGACGCACCCCGCGACCACGCCGCGACCCATCCGCGACCCACCCCGCGACCCACCTCACGACCCACCCGCGACCCATACGCGACCCACCCGCGACCAATCCGCGACCCGGCCCGCGACCCACCCGCGACCCACCCTCGACCCACCCCCGACCCACCCCGCGATCCACCCACACCCTCGACCCATCCGCGGCCCGTCCCGCGACCCACCCGCGACCCACCCCGCGATCCACCCACATTGCTTTGGCGCCTCTGGGGAGCTCACTGCATAATTTGTAAAAGTGAGGCGCCTGCGGCGGGCTTCTTCAGAGCCTCGCAGACTGACTTTGCTGTTGTTGTTGGTGTTGTTGTTATTGATGTGTTTGTTGTTGTTGTTGCGGTTGTTGTTGTTGGTGTTGTTGTTGCTATTGTTGCTGTTGTTGTTTGTGGTGTTGGTGTTGGTGTTGGTGTTGGTGTTGTTGTTGCTGTTGAATGTTAATTACTAAACAAGTATTATTGTTGGACACCTTAAAGGCGCCTTGGGGCTCTCGCCGAGGCGACGGCTACCTTTTCAGAAAATGAGGCTCACGCTCGAGCGGTTTGGGGGACCGCCAAAACCGGCCCCCCAATAACAACAACGCTCCCGCTCGAGATTTCCTCCTTTTTTGCTCAGGGCTGGTGTTCTTGCTCGCCGCCGAAAGCCGCCGTCCTAACAAAACCAGCGCTCCCGCTCGAGACTTCCTCCCGTTTTACCTTGGACTGGCGCGCTAGCCTTTCTCTCATCGGCACCGCCCCCAGCAAAAACAACGCTCCGGCTCGAGGCCTCCTCCCTTTTTTACTCAAGGCGGTGCTCCTCCCTCGCCGCCGAAAACCGCCGCCCCGACAAAACCAGCGTTCCCGCCTGAGACTTCGTTTTGTTTCACGCTGGACTAGCGCCCTACTCTCTTCAGCATTGGCGCCGCTCCCTACAACAACAGCAGCCCTGCTCAAGACTTCCTCCCTTTCTATTCAGGGCGAGGTCCTTGCCTCACCGCCGACAGCCCCCATCCCCACCAAGGCAATCCTGTCGTTCGATACTTCCTTGTGCTTTACCCTTCGCTGGGGTTCCATTGGCGGTCTCGCATCGGTGCAGCAAGGCGCGGGCATGTGTTTTCGAGGCGGAATATGTTGAAATTCCTCGGAGGAGGTGTTTGCAAGACCTCATCGGGCGGGAGATCTGGTAATGGGAATATCGGACCCGCTACAGAACAAGAGCCCCCCATTACGTGGATGTTTATCGTGATGGTCGCATGCTTCGTGTGGAAACATCGCGCATGAGGGGAAACATGTTGTTGTTGTTGTTGTTGTTGGTGGTGGTCGTGGTGGTGGTGGTGGTGGTGGTGGTGTTGTTGTTGTTGTTGTTGTGGTTGTTGTTGTTGTTGGTGTTGTTGTAGTTTGTTGTTTGTTGTGTATTGTTTGTTGTTTGTTGTTTGTTGTTTGTTGTTTGTTGTTTGTTGTTTGTTGTTGTTGTTGTTTGTTGTTGTTGCTGTTGCTGTTGTTGTTGTTGCTGTTTTTGTTGCTGCTGCTGTTGTTGTTGTTGTTGTTGTTGTTGTTGTCGTCTTCCCCCCCGCGACCCACCCCGCGACCCACCCCGCGACCCACCCCGCGACCCACCCCGCGACCCACCCCGCGACCCACCCCGCGACCCACCCCGCGACCCACCCCGCGACCCACCCGGCGACCCACCCCGCGACCCACCCCGCGACCCATCTCGCGACCCATACGTCCGCGACCCACCCGCGGGCCTCCCGCGACCCACTCCGCGATCCACCCACATCCGCAACCCATCCGCGACCCGGCCCGCGACCCACCCGCGACCCACCCGCGGCCCACCCGCGACCCACCCCGCGATCCACCACCATTTTTTAAACTAAAAAATCGGCGCCTACGGCGGGCTAACTGCATAATTTGTGGAAGCTAGGCGCCTGCGGCGGGCTTCTTCAGAGCCTCGCAGACTGACGCCGTCCTCGCCGCCCCCTCACTCTTATCCGCAACTGCGGGGTGCTACGTACCCATATTTTCCGTACCCATGCCGGGCGTCCAAAGGGAGGACCGAAACAGGGGCGAGATCGAGTTTTGGAAGGGGGGCGAGTTAAGTGGGGGTTTGAGGATCGGATTTCGAGGTTTCGCACGGGCTCGTCGGCGCTCGGCGGCTTTCGAGCCTCGGGATGCCGTCCAGCGGCTGCGCCTCGCCGAGGGCATTCTGGGGGTGCCTGGATCGCCCCTAGAGGCCGCGATCGCCCCGAATGGCCGCTGGAGAACCGAGCTTTCGTCCAAAATCCCCCTGCAGGGGGGGATACGCCCGACCTAAACTTAGAGCCCAGAAGCCCGAGGACGGGGACAGGGAAGCGGGCCGCAGGGGCAGCATCGTGAAGGGCAGGCTCGTGGGGGGGGGGGGGCATCGGGCCCCAATCTCACGTCGGTCGCCGACAGCGGCTTGGATTTCAGTCGGGCCTGTCTCTCCACAGGAGAAATATTCAAAACTGCGTTCGTTTTAATATATCAAGAAGTCTGGGGACGATTTGTTTTACCATGTTTGAATATTGTTTGAAGTATTGTTCGTGTATTTTAATATTTCGTCCAAAATCCGCCTGTGGGGGGGCATGCCCTTGGTAGCCTTCCCCTCCCAGAAGCATGCGCATTCGCCATCGGGGGACTAGCGCCGATCTGTCGGCGATGTATCGACGACCTCAGGTCGACGTCCCCCGTTGAGCCGGTCAGGGCAATGATCTGGTCATACGTGGATCAAGAATGCCCATCACGCGTGATGGCGAATGATTCCAGTGTTGCCCATAGTTGTCAGAGCGCGTTGTGCGCTCCTACCTCCACTAGCATGCCGACTATGCCACCGAATGGTCTGGACGACAATTGCATGCGGCAATGGCTTGTGTCTCACACGCCCTCTTCTCGTGTCCTGCGATCAACCTTTCTCTCTCCGACGCCGACCCCTGCCCCGATGCCAGGCACATAACAGTATCTATCAATCAGATGTCATACGCCACGCCAGAGAACCCCAGGGCGGAGTTGTCAACAGACTGCCTTGCAGCCATGTGCCCTGATGAGGGCCATGCTCGTACAGGGTCCGGCTTGAATAAGGAACGTCTACTTGTCAAAAAGGGCCAGGTCGTTTCTTCGGTTTGCATGCGTTCCGCTACCTTTTTGGCGGCGAGCCCCCTAGGTGTTCCTTCGGAATTCCTAGGCTTACTTGGAAGAAAAGGGGCTTCGTTCCTTATGTTTCGTTCCTTAGGTCAGGCCGAATCGTGTATGTGGGTTCCCGCCCACGCTTTGCCGACTCGTGCCGCTTGGTTGTTCAAGCTTGGTGCCCCGCTGCTGCGCCCGAGCCACTCCAAAGGCAGAGGCCCCCACTCAAGCAGCGGCGAAGCGTCCCGGTTCGCCTATAGGCCCACCAAAAGATGTCTGAGCATGTTTTGTGGTTTGCACGGAATGTGCTTAGAACTTTTCTGGTTGCGACTGTCTTGTTTTAACACATCGGGTTTATGCTCTAAGAACATTGTTGTTGTTGTTCTTAGAACATTTAAGGGCTATAAGACAATTTCGTGGTAGGCCTATTTGAATGCCGGGACGGTCGGTCCCTGCTCAACCCTCCTCCTCTCGCCACGGCGGGAAGTTTTTTGGCAATCTTCGGCCTCTTGGAGCCCTCCCTGGGGCCCCGGTGGCCGTCCACAAGCGCCCCGGGATGAAGATTCGGTCCCGGGTCTTGGGTATAGTAAGATTTTCGGTGGGGTCCCATTGTCAACGCAGCACGGCGTCGGCATTAAGTTCGGAAAACGATAGGGGGGGCCAGGCTGTCCTGGAGAATTTCGTTCCGGATTTCGAGGCGAATTTCGTGCGGGGTTTTTTGGGCCAGAAATGAAGACCAAAAAAGAATCCACGCAAAAATCATTACGTGTTTCGTTCGCGGTTTCGGGCAACAATCCATGCAGAAATCCACGCA